ACTCTAGAGGAAATAAACTTCCTCTGCACAAAGTGCTGTGTGACCCCGTCACACGAAATGGCGCCAAATGACTCCTAGGGTGCCTCTGTATTTCATACTGTCAATAATTACAAAAATTGACTAAGTAGTTTTGAGAAAATCAGCTAATAGTCTGGTGCGGCTATAATTTTGCGCCAGATGCCAAAACGACTTCTGGTAGTTGCTCGATAAGTATTAACCATTACAAGTCGAATTTTCCGCTATCGTTCCCTTTCATCACACAGGCCTCAAAAGCCTCAACAGCCTCATACAGAAACAATTCAGTCGTTGTCACTCTCAAGAACCTCGGGTGCTGCTATAATTTTGCACCAGACTGTATATTGGATGCGAACCTTGTGCACACGAAAAGATTCACTTGATAGAAAATAAAGCCTGTGCCACGCATGATCGTCAAGCAAGCACATTTTTACGGCACTCCAATTTTACAGTACATTGTACTGTATAATTTGAAGTGCCGTAAAAATGTGCATGCGTATCTTGCTCCCTGGAACCTAGAGTGACTGCACTCGTGTATTACCAGTTCGTATTCGATTCATCGTGACTAGTGATTCTAACCGGGTTATATGAGCTAGTAGTCCGGCTACAATTCCAGTGATGAACGCAACACGAAGTGTCTACCCCGATGAAAAGGGCCGTGCAGATTTGAGCTCCAAACCTCTCAAACTTTGAGAAGCTACTGCCAAAGAAGAAAAAAAAGCATGAAACAGAGAACAGGAGCACCAACGAACAATTGCATCGGCCACTCTCACTGCGCGAGCGTGATGCATCCATGCAAGCAAGCATGCATGTCGCCAGTCCCCCACTGAATGATACTGTTTCTAGTTTTATCACCAAGCACATCGATCGCTGCGGATTGATATCTCCTTACGCGATAGAATACCTCTGTAGCTCCTTGGCTGCTCGCCATAACGTTAGTAAGCTCTATCGTTCGCTTGGTGCAAACAAAAGAAGCTAAAGTTTTTCGATCCAGTGATGATGCTGGTGCTGAGACGCGCTCCGTTGACTCACAATAGTTACCAATTCCTACTACCATTCCAGCTTGCTTTTCTTCTTCAACATTTGGTTCCTTGACACAACTTCGCATAGGATACCAAACAAGATGTTCACTGTCGTCATACATTTCTGCTTCGTGCAGGCGTTCGTGTCTCTATCACTAACGCGTTGTCGTCGCAGCCAATGAAAAGCGGTGACTCAAGACCAAGCAGAAAAACTTCAGTTTGGCGTCTCTGTAAGATCAGAGAATCTTAACCGGTCGTGCCTCCACGTTCTCGATGCATGACCTCCGTCTCTGGTACTGGTGGCTTTGCCAAGCTGGATTTATGGCGAGAACGTTACGATACTGGAATTGGTAGTGACAGGGACGTAGACATGCAGCTTATCTTTGCAGCAGAAGCGAAAGCGTCATCGATTGCTCAGAATTGGCGTACTTTTCAGCGAAGACCAAGCAGCCAAGATGATCCATGGTTTTTTGCGATGCTGTCGTTCGCTCATTCTTCAAAAACTCACGTCAAGCTACAGCAACCGCGCCATTCGATAATGACTGTTGTTCAAGGCGTCAATATGGCAGTTATCGCCAGCGCAGCCCACTGCACCAAAGCTGAAGGCAAGATGACCAATTTGCCTGCCACATACCGCGCTTATCAATACAAGAGCTATGGTGCTCCAGGTACCGAACTCTTTCTCTCCAAGGACGTCCCGATGACTCCGCTCGAGCCCACGCAGCTTCGCATTAAGATCCACAGTGCGGCACTCAACCCCGCTGACCAGAAGATCATGCAAGACTTCGGACGTGCCGTCACCGGACGTCAACCCTCCGCTGACAAACCCTTTGGCATGGGGTTCGACGTCGCCGGGATCGTCGTCGAGACCGGTGCCGATACGCATCAGTTCAAGGTGGGCGACGCCGTCTTCGCCATGGCGCCGTACTCCAATTTCGGCACGTTCGCCGAGTTTGTAGCGGTCGACGAGCAGTTCGTGGCACACAAGCCCTCCATCATCACCTTCGAGGAGGCCGCCAGCATCCCGTACGCCACGCTCACCAGCTATCAGGCGCTGTGTGAGCACGCCAACCTTAAGGCGGGTGAGCGCGTGCTCATCCTGGGTGGATCCACCGGGACGGGCATGGCAGCCATCCAGTTAGCACGTGCCATGGGTGCGCACGTGATTGCCACGGTCAGAGGCTGTGAGGACTACCTTGTCGTGCAGTCACTCGGCGCTGAAAAAGTCATCGACACGTCCAAACAGAGCTGGGTCGACGTCGTGGACGAGCACTCTATCGACGTGGTATACGACTGCGGCGTGGAGCACAAGGCGTGGAACCGCGATGCCCAGGTCGTGCTCAAGAAGGACACGGGGCGGTTTGTGACCATCAACCCCATGATGCAGCCCCGTCCAGCCAAGTTCGGCGCCAAGTGCATTGGCGAGATCATGGTGCACGCGAGCGGTGCGCAGTTGCAGGAACTGTCAGGCTTTGTGTTTTCGGGTGCGCTGAAGCCCGTGATCGACTCGGTGTACGCGTTCGACCAGCTTCTGCCGGCGTTGGAAAAACTGAAGACGAAGAACGTGTGTGGCAAGATTGTGCTTCGCATAGGGCACTAGATCCCTTTCGGTGGCGTGTATATCTACATTATCTTTGATACGAATTGTCTCTCTAAACATAAGCTATTCCACTTTACTCCTTGGCCACCTCAATGATGATCTTGCCCTTCGCGCGGTGTGACATACAGATCTTCATGGCCTCCACCAGGTTCTCCAACGGGTGCACCGAGTCAATGACGGTCTTCACCTGGCCAGCTTCGATCAACTTCTTGAGCTCCAGTAGATACTCCGTGCAAGGTGCGTTGAAGATCTGGTTCTGCGTGGCACCGATAGGAGACTCGATCGGCATGTCGATCACGCCGATCGTCACGAAGATACCGGTCTGTTCCTTGAGCACCTTCTGTGCGGCGTCATTCCACGACTGGGACTCCACGCCACAGTCGTAGATGAGGTCCACCGAGTGTTCGGCCAGCACCTCACTCCACTTGGCACTCATGTAGTCGATGACTTGGTCGGCACCCAGCGACTTGACGAGCTCCACATTGCGGTGACTGCATGTAGCCACGACCTCCGCGCCAAGCGCCTTGGCGATCTGGATGGCGAACAGACCCGTGCCGCTGCTGCCACCCAAGATGAGCACACGCTGACCCTTCTGCAGTTTGCCGTACGTCACCAGCGCCTGCCAGCTCGTCTGGCCCGCCAATGGCACACCTGCGGCCTCGTTGAACGTCATGTTGCTCGGCTTGTGCGCCACGCGCTTCGTGTCCACGTTGATGTACTCGGCGAATGTTCCGGTGGCATCGAACCACGGCATGGCGAACACCTCGTCGCCCACCTTGTAGTCCTTCACGTCACTGCCGACTTCCACGACCTTGCCAGACAGGTCGTGGCCCACGCGGTACGGGTGTTCGGGTGACGCCATGGTGGACAGGATCATGGACGCGTAAAGTCCGATCTTGTAGTCGATAGGGTTGAGCGACGCACTGAAGATCTTGATCTTCACCTCGTTGGGCTGCACGGGCTTCTGCTCGGCGGCCGGGTTAAACTTGATCTGCTCAAGGAAGTCACCGAAGTGCTGGTACTCGTAGGCCTTGAAGGTAGCGGGGATGGCAGCCATGGTTGGTGATTGCTTGGATGCGGATTGTTGCGGTTGGTGTCGAGAACTCGGTTTGGAGAATGAACATTGTGGTGCACGTACATGTACGACTCTTCTGTAGGTTTCCCGTCATCTGCGACGGAGATTGCGCGCACTTATAGGTTGACGCAGCAACCTATGTTTTCATCATCACCTAGAAAATCCAGATACAGAATCCTATTTCTTCAAACAAAAAAAAAGACATGTGTTTTCTTACTGTAAAAACAATAGTGAATCCTAAATCTGATCTTTCTAGGTTCCGTCAAGGGTGAAATACAGTGCCACTCTGTCCACGTGATCGCAGATTACCTGAACTATATTGCTTACACAGCGTCATTCTGGTGCCGTGCCAGTCTCTGCTGCACCGTAACGGATGCCACCGTTGCTACAGTCTCTCATTCCTCAAAAAGATCTCAAGCCCACAAGTCTCTAAGATCCCAACACCAACCCCAAGCATCATGTCTGCCATCCCCGCCACCTTCAAGGCCTACGAGTACTCCAAGTTCGGCGACGCGCTGGAGGAGATCAAATTCAACGCGAACGCCGTCCAGAAGCCACTGAAGGCCGATGAGCTGCGTGTCAAGATCTTCAGCGCCGCCGTGAACCCTGTGGACTACAAGCTAGTCAAGTACGGTCCGCACATTCTGCCTCACGCCCCCACTGCTGAGAATCCCTTCGGCGTGGGTTTCGACATGGCCGGCAAGGTAGTAGAAGTCGGCAGTGACGTCAAGGACTACAAGGTCGGTGACGAGATCTTCGCCATGCCCGGCTTCATGAGCTTCGGCACCTTCGCCGAATACATCAACATTGAGACCAAGTTTGTGGCACCCAAGCCCAGCAACATGTCGTGGAATGAGGCAGCAGGTGTGCCTCTTGCTGGCCAGACGAGCTGGCAGGCGCTGGTAAAGTACGGTAAACTACAAAAGGGCCAGCGCGTGCTGATTCTAGGAGGCAGCAGCGGCACGGGCGTGTTTGCTATTCAGATCGCCAAGGCCCTCGGCGCGGAGGTCATCACGACGTGCAGTGCACGTAACGTGGAGCTCGTCAAGTCGCTGGGTGCTGATCAGGTTGTGGACTACACCAAGGAGAAGTGGAGTGAGGTGCTGGCCGAGCACTCTATTGACCTCATTTACGACTGTGGCATGGAGCCAGCATCGTGGAATGACGCCGCTCAGAAGGTCCTGAAGGAGAAGACCGGTATCTTCGTGACGATCCTGACGGTTGACAAGCCCATTGAGTCACCCATTGGTGCCACGTTGCACCAGATATTCAATGCGCCGTGCACGGAATACCTGCTGGAGCTCAAGAAGCTGATTGAAGCTGGGAAAGTGAAGACGATCATTGATTCGGTGCACCCGCTGGAGAACGTGATGGAGGCGTTTAAGGTGCAGATGTCCAGTCGCGCTCGTGGCAAGATCGTCATCGAGATCGCCAAGGAATAAGTGATTAGTAGTTAACGAGCTGTATAAGAAGAATGGAATAAACGTGAGCGCTGAATTGGTAGTGGGGGTTGTTTATTATGTACTTGTGTTGTACAGTTTTACGTAATACTTCTACTTAACATACTTCGGGTTTGGAGTAAGTTATGTTTGATATGTATGTTGTAGTGGAATCTCTATTGTAGGATCTTTGCTAGATGTGGATTCTAGAATACGTGACAACTTTTGTTTGCATCATGGCTGAGGCGAATCCAGCACCAAGAACTTCTCCTGGAGAAGCAGCAACTTCAACTTCACTACGTCGACGATTCTCGCGACGCTCACGATTCTTGAGTCGAATTTGACCAGTGCGACTCTCGTAGGGCGAGGGCTTTGGTGAGGACAGATCAGGGCTGTTCGTCACGTAATATGGAGCAGGCAAGGGAAAAGATCACTTAGCATCGATTTCTTGGATTACGCTCTACATTGCAGTTAGCTTTTCGAGTGTAATTGAGTATTGCAATCCGTGCGGCTCACGCCATAGGGCATTGCAATACTTCACTTTTGCGTCACTTCACATGTCAAGCTCACCTCGCTCTACTATTATACTAGATAAATCTTCATGGTTTTATTGTTTCTCAGCATGGCTAAATGCAGCAGCTGTAGCGTTAGCAGAGCACCGCGGCATAGCATCTCGCGGCATTTACTCCGGCCCACACTCGCTACTTCATTACGCACTACGTGGCAGTATTTTGCAGTGTACATGGAAAGCAAATGACTCGAGGTACTACTAGATTTTCTCCTCTGGATGAGTAGCCCAGTCCCACCGTAAGCTGATGGCAGGCACACGCTGATGAATGAAGATAGCAACGACTTCTGCAGATCAGTGCTGCAGTTGAGTATTGCAGATTCCACTCCAATTGGGTATTGCAATATCTAGGTTTCATGCAATTGATTGCAATACGTTTCCGGCGGATAAACCAATTCTTTTTTTTATGTGGAGCAAGCAGTCCATAGCATGTTTACTATTCGGGGCCGAGTATAAGCGGCAGCATCTCGACTACGTATAGTCCATGTAGACAGCACGAATGGTATCCTAAGGGGATTTCTGGCAAAAGAGCTCATTTGTGTTCTTCCCCAATGGCTATGTATTCAATTTCCTGGTGGTACACAGACTCGATGACTTTCAACTTGAAAGTCCAGATCTGCCTACACACAATGGGCGGCATGCCAACCACGAGAGATTTGCTATCTGATGCTAGAGTTTATGCGCCAATCTATGCCAATTCTCAGTTGTAGTTTGGCGAAAATGATGGAAACCAATGTGTTTTCATCATCTAACAAAACTTGTTAAGCCAATCGACGGCCCCTTTTGCGCCAACAATCTCATAAATAGGGATTCGTTTTATTCGCGCATACGGTTTTTGCTCATATTTATAGATACATGCATCTTTTCAAGAGGAATGGTGCTTTTAGACAAATCTAGGTCGGACCAAAAAACTAACATAAAAGACAAGATTCTATTTCCAGTTTTAATCTTTCCCGAAACTGGAAATAGAATATTGTCATTTAAAAGGATGGGAATCAAAATATCGCTACCTCAGGCCATCGTCACAATTTCCCCAGGTTTTTATCGTCGATACCCAAGAAGAGCTAGGCCCACCGATTGAGTTTGATACTAGATGATGAAAACACGCTGTCTCCATCATTATCGCCTAACTACAACTGAGAAAATCATAGATTGGCACATAAACTTGAGTATCAGATTACAAAGCACCCGTGCTTAGCGCACGGGCATTATGAGCCCAGCCAACAGCATCATCACTATCCACGCCAGTCGCGCGGCGGACTGCCGCACCCGAGCACTCATTCTCCAAACTGAGTTCTCGACACCAACCGCAACAATCCGCATCCAAGCAATCACCAACCATGGCTGCCATCCCCGCTACCTTCAAGGCCTACGAGTACCAGCACTTCGGTGACTTCCTTGAGCAGATCAAGTTTAACCCGGCCGCCGAGCAGAAGCCCGTGCAGCCCAACGAGGTGAAGATCAAGATCTTCAGTGCGTCGCTCAACCCTATCGACTACAAGATCGGACTCTACGCGTCCATGATCCTGTCCACCATGGCGTCACCCGAACACCCGTACCGCGTGGGCCACGACCTGTCTGGCAAGGTCGTGGAAGTCGGCAGCGACGTGAAGGACTACAAGGTGGGCGACGAGGTGTTCGCCATGCCGTGGTTCGATGCCACCGGAACATTCGCCGAGTACATCAACGTGGACACGAAGCGCGTGGCGCACAAGCCGAGCAACATGACGTTCAACGAGGCCGCAGGTGTGCCATTGGCGGGCCAGACGAGCTGGCAGGCGCTGGTGACGTACGGCAAACTGCAGAAGGGTCAGCGTGTGCTCATCTTGGGTGGCAGCAGCGGCACGGGTCTGTTCGCCATCCAGATCGCCAAGGCGCTTGGCGCGGAGGTCGTGGCTACATGCAGTCACCGCAATGTGGAGCTCGTCAAGTCGCTGGGTGCCGACCAAGTCATCGACTACACGAGTGCCAAGTGGAGTGAGGTGCTGGCCGAACACTCGGTGGACCTCATCTACGACTGCGGCGTGGAGTCCCAGTCGTGGAATGACGCCGCACAGAAGGTGCTCAAGGAACAGACCGGTATCTTCGTGACGATCGGCGTGATCGACAAGCCGATCGAGTCTCCTATCGGTGCCACGCAGAACCAGATCTTCAACGCACCTTGTACGGAGTATCTGCTGGAGCTCAAGAGGTTGATCGAAGCTGGCCAGGTGAAGACCGTCATTGACTCGGTGCACCCGTTGGAGAACCTGGTGGAGGCTATGAAGATCTGTATGTCACACCGCGCGAAGGGCAAGATCATCATTGAGGTGGCCAAGGAGTAAACTGAAATACTTACAGCTAGGGGAGTACCAGTTCAGTTGTGCAACAGTAGCCTTTGAGGGATAACATGATATATCACTTTTTACATTACCAAAAAGTGTTGGTCTTGGTGCGAGCTCTCAGAATGCTCAACTCATGAGCTGTCGTCAGATCTATTCGGATGAACACTTTTACGCGGTGAAGGAATATCAGTTCATGTGCTCTTTGCGTAGGACACCATCGTTTTGAATTACTCACTCAACCGCATTGTGCTCGTTTACTGTTAACCTTAAATATTCAGAGGGCATCTATGAATAATGTATGTTCTCCCTATTGGTTTGCTGGAGAACCAAAATTAAAGCTTGTAGCACTGCAGGATGATGTTATCCGTAAATCCATTGCAGAAATATAAACTAGGTCGTCTACGACTTACACTGTGAATGCATATACATTTTTTGCGTTGCGACAATGATTCAGAGTGTGGCGGTAACATTCTCTAACCGAAATTGGCGTAATGCTAATTCCGCCTGAAGTTACAACGGCGTTACTCCAACATCGGTTTGCGGTGTAGCCATCATAGCTGTGATGAAATCGAAGAACTAGACCTATTGAGATACTAGTTTTTATAAAACCTAGCTGGTTAAGCCGTCCAATATTCTATTTGATCGAATATTTGATGGCATTATTAGAATATTTCACTGCTATGCTGCAGAGGCATCGACTGCTCCAGTTTTCATTTATATCCTATATCAAATGAGTTGCATTTGTTCAACTGAAAAACAGTGTTTAAATAACGTCTAAAAATCCGCTGCGTAGGCTTACTTGTGTGCAAATCGGGCGTCGTCAGAGACAGAAATTGCAACAGCTTCTTCTTCTAATCTCATTCTGCTACTCTTCCTGATGCCACAGAAGCCATTCAGGCAGCGTTCAGCTCTCTTTTTTTCTGTTCGCAATACCTCGTATACTCTTTCGTTGTCATGTTCTCCACACAGGATCTCGTAGAATACTCTTCACACTTCCAACGACTCCGCTTCATAAAAAACGAAATAAAACTTGTAGCAGCACTTGCGCTTTTTACGAAAAGAAAAAGAACAACAATCTTTTCGACAGAGAAACTGCAAAAAAAACATTTGATGTGACACGAATGTTGACCCAGGTTACGTTACGCATTTCAATTAATCGTGGAATTAATCCGTTGTGGGCTGTCCATACCTCTATGAGGCATCCCCAGTAGTAGGTATAATACTTTCATAAGATTTGTTTGACTAATGTGTTATTTTTCTACGAGTACACGGTATAAAGTATCAACGTGCTGCGACCATGACAGTTCCTTCAGCAAACGCTGCAAGTAGTACCAGAGGTTGTGGTTTGCTTATCAATGCATAGTGGTTCCTACGCTGATCTCATCAACGCCAAGGCCGATGCCGACCGCGTCTACAATTACCCCGGCAGTCTCACCCCTCCACCGTGCGATGAAATCGTCGACTGGTAGGTGGTTCCAACTCCCGTTCTACTTTCCTTAAAGGACCTGGAGCGTCTAAGAAAAATATTGTGAGGTTGGTGGTGGCCGACGGCGAAAGTAACGCTCGCCCCCTACAGTTTCTAGGTGAAAGCCGTGGCGTCGTTGACTTCAAGTAGACCATAAAGCCGAATTGGTAACCTTGCATATCATGGAACTCATATACGCAACAACAGGTAACCAGTAAGTTTTTTTTTTTTTTTTTTTTTTTGGGGGGGGGGGCGATATCGTCGTGATTTTGACGATCGTTTCATGCAGGGGTGAGTGAAATCGAGATTCATCGGCCAATTTTAGCTGTCCACAGTCTGCTCCAGACTCTTCGAGGGCTTCCCCTTGTAGTTCCCTCGAGCTGTAGAGACAAACAATTTATTAGTTGGCATGGATACTAGCAGTCCAGAGTTCCAGGAGGCACTGCGAGACCATGCAAGAAGTCTTGGCGTTGACCCGGATTCAGAAAACTACCTGCTGCCGCTTGTGCAAGAGGCATTACTGGCTGAACTACCACCAGACTGGGAACAGGGCGAGACTGAAGACGGCACACTCTACTACTTCAATTCAAGCTCGGGGGAAAGCATTTGGGAGCATCCTCTGGACGCTCACTACCGAGAACTCATTCAGGCCAAAAAGGAGGAACACGCTGCTCAAACGACTGCGCCTATTCCCGAAACACAGGTCGACACCAAGAGCTCGAACACCACTACAGTAACTAGCAACGTCGATGTGTACAGCTTTGATGACGTCAGTGACGAGGAAACACCAGCGCCTATTGCCTCTGCTCCAGTGTTCAACAAGTCTAGAATCAGCGACCTCTTTTCCACGCCAACGCAGTCCACTCCATCATGGAAAACCGGCAATACCACTAACGCTTCTATTGATTCAACTCCTGCAGTGGCACAAACGACTCCGTCGGCCACGGGATTTGGTTTTGGTCGTGATCGATCCTGGCTTCTCGACAACGATGACGACGTAGCTCCAATTGCGATTAAACCATTGCCGACTTCATTACAGAAGCAGGATACAACGACTTCGAACTCAGTAGACACGAGTTCTTCACGCTTGGAACCATTTAGCTCTCGACGATCTGGAGTCGTGACATCCGCCGCAGTCACTTCAACACCACCGATAGATGCTGCGACTCCGTTGCCCAGTAGTCAAACTTCAAACCAACCGCCCAGTAAACAATCGACTACTGTTACAGCATCAGCACCTTCGCCTACAACGATAGCGAAAAATCAACAGCTAGAGAAGAAACTGGCCGATGCAAATAATGATCTAGAACGTGAGCGAGTTGCCCATTCCGAGACCACAAAAAAACTCCAAACGGCCCAGCAAGAAGCTAAAGAGAGCAACTATCTCAAGATGAAAGTGAACGAGCTCAAGACCAAACTCTCCGAACAAGAGACTGCAGCCTCTACACGCGAAAAGCAACAACTTGATAAACTAGTCGAACAGGAGAGCACTGCGTCAGCACGAGAGAAGCAGCTGGCGGATAAACTTGCCAACCTGGAGGCTGAAAATGCTCGTCTCATCAAGCAACAGGGCCAAACGCAAAGTCAACAAATGGAGACTCAGCAGAAAGAAGCTCAGCAAAACCGAGAAGCTCTCAACAGTAAACAAGCGGAACTTGAGCGTCTTCAACAGCGTCTTACGGAGCAGGAACAACAGGCTAAAGGAGCTGCAGATACGTATGAGAAAACGAAAACTGAATTTCAACAAAAACTTGATCAACAACTGGCGTCAACTGAAACGTTAAGCCGTCAACATGCCACTGAAGTGGTAACACTGCGTGAACAACTTGAAAAGCTCGAGCAACAGAATCGTACGTTAAAATCTACAGTTGATGAACAGACCACAAAGTGCGAACAACTCGAGAAGCTTCATCAGGAACTGAAGAGCACAGCAGGTGACCAAGCTACACAATCGGAGCAACTTGAGAAACTTCAACAGGAACTTCGGGCGTTGAAAAGTACAGCAGATGAACAAGCTGCAAAATGCCAACAGCTCGGAACTGTGCAAGAAGCGTTGGCTAAACAGGAGAAACTAACTCAAGAAATGGACGAGAAGAACCGTGTTTTACAGACCCAAATTGATCGTCTTCAGCGAGAAAGCACAGAGATGAACAGGAAGCACGACGTATTAAACCAAGATCTTGAAGCCAAGAAAGCTGAACACAACACTCTACAGACTGTTTTAAACAGAACGCAAGACGAGCTTCGTCGAGTCCAGGAAGAGCTTCGTAAGGCTCAGGACGAGAACCGAACAATCAATAGCAGCTTCGAGCAGCAGAAGCACCAGCAGCAGTTGGCTATTGACCGAGAACGCATCACTGCTGATGCTGAAGCACAGGCTCAGTCCCGTATCCAGAGGCTTCAAACGCAGCTCAACGTACAGCTAGACGAACAAACTGCTGCCAAGACCAGACTCCAGTCTGAAGTTATTGAGCTTCGAGGCGAGCTGGCCAGTGTGCAGGCTCAGGAAGTGAAGCCGCTCGAGAAACAGCGCGACCAGCTTCACCGTGAAGTCGATCGTCTCGCTGAGCGCGTTTCAGCGCTCGAGAAGGAGCTGCGCTCTGCCAAACAGGAGCTGTCGGCACAGACGGATAGAGCGAACCAACTGGAGCTCGAAGTTGACGTGCTGGTGCGTCGGGAACAGCAGCGAAAAGCACAGACCGAAGCGCTCACTACAGCCAAACACACAGCCGAGAAACAGCTCGCAGCACTGCAAGATGAACTGCTCACTGCACAGCACGACAGACGCGTAGATACCGACAAACTGAGCTTCCGAGTGCGTGAACTAGAGAGTCAAGTGACGCAGAAAGACTACGAAGCGGCGCGATTGGAGGAACGGTTCGCTAAAGCCGAAGCGTGGCGTGCAAAGGAAGCTGCGCGTGTGGAGAAGCGCGATGCTCAGCTCATGGAGTTACGCGAGCAGATCACAGCGCTACAGGCGCGTCATGTTGAGGTTGAGACCAGCGCAGAGATCCAGGAACTGCGTGCGGCCAAGCAGAAGGCGGAGCTGACGCTGCAGAAGCTCGAACGCGAACTGAGTGACGAACGGGACGCTCGCAAACGCGACGAGATCCGACGGACAGAGGAACTACAGCGTATGCAACAGGCAGTAGAATGGCAACTCCCGCAACTGGCACAGGCTTGTGTCACGCGATCTAGTGACGAGTGGGCGAGGAAGTGCCGCGCTGTGGCCAAGAAGCTACGTGACGAGCTTAGTATGCGTGCGTTAAAAGACCGTAACGACCTTGTAGCTAGAGAACAGCAAGCACATGAAGCCTGTGAACGAGCTGAACAGAAGCTCAAGACTGCGGTTGCTGAGAGCGAGTTCTTGAGACGCGAAGTGGGGCGTCTAGAGGACAATAATAAGGTGTTGCTCGAGCAACTTCACACTATCCGGGTGTATCTAATGCAGCGACCGATGCCTTGTCAAGTGGCCGGTGTGGGTTCGCCACCATGGACGCAACCTCCGCACTCAGTGCCACCGTCTGCTCCGACAGGGAGCGCTTCGGTTCCGATAAACTTTAGTGACTTGTCCACAGTCAGCCAGCTGAACACGCAGCTCGGTATTTTACATGCGCAGTTCCAGCAGCTTTTTGATTCGAATGAGCGACGTCCATCGTCCATGTCGTTCTCTCCCAGTGACCGCTTCGAGTTCCCAGTGTCTCCTGTAGGAAGAGCTCCTGGGACTCCAAAACAATCGTTCAGTAACGATCAGATGAAGCGAAAAGAAGAGGAAGAAGATGCGGAGACTGAGCGAATTGCAATGGAAGCGTTGATGGACCAGAAGATCGCGAGTGGGAGCACTCCGTCAGCGTATCAACGGCAGCAGGAGGAATTGCTGACGACGCTCGAGTCTCTGGGAGGGTCCAATCCGCGGTGGTTACCAGTGTACCAGTCTCCAGGACATGGGCCACTCGACAGCATGGATGAAGACAGCGGTGACCACGAGCCGCACTCCACGTTGTGGTATCAGCAGGATTATTGGCGCAGCAAGTACCAATGACCAGGATCGTATGACGTGGCCACCGTGGCACTCAAATCTCGACTGGATGTGTATGCAAATCGTTAGTTTACACAAATCTAAATGTGACGATCAGAATCAAGACGCGAAGCTCACCGTGTCGATGAAGATAACTGCAGCTCCGTGCTTTTTGGCAGTTCGATTCAAGATGATTGGATTCGATCTCCGCGTTTTTGGCAGCGTTTTTATCCCTTTCAGTAACGGAGATGACGACCTACAGAATCGTGTCCGTGAGCAAGCCTAGCACCAGTTCCTATTTGGCAATGATCTCAGCTCAGTAGTGTGGATCGTGGGAGCTGAAGGACATTATTTGCGGGGTCGAAGGCTTGAATACAGACGCAAGACTTGCTGCAAATGACCATGTTCGACTCGTCGCTGATTGAGACGATACCAGATCAGATTCACCACTGTAAATTAAGGCCATACATACTGCAATTTTTACCAGATAGCTTTGCTTTATAATGCTGCGGAGTCAATCGTAGAGCTAATACTGCGTAATATTCATACAGTAGTTGGTAAATGCACAACTCGAATGACATTTCAAGGATCTTGCATTGGCTATTTTTGACCGTGCTTTACCCACTATTAGGCGTCCCGTCTAAGTACGCTTAACCACCAATGTTCAACTTTAGCGCCTCTATAAACGAATTACTGTTTGGAAACTGTTCCGAATAGTAAAACCAATCTACTGTATACAATATCTAATTACCTGTTAATTTAGATAAGATAGTTAAAATAAAACAACGGAGGCATGGAATAAAATCATTGCTGTTTTAAACAAATTTACTTGTTTTCAGTAAAGCCTACAAAAACGCTGTGTCCCAATCTAGCGGCTGTGGGCCGCTTTGTCAGTTCAGTTTTGTGCGAGCAGTGAGGTTCCGGTGGTCTTGCGGCTTACAGATTGCAGCATGTTGCGCTCCTCACAGATGAAGCAGGCGCTGGCCAAGGCAATGGCCCGCCCGACCGCCACGCGCGGATTTGCCGTACGCAGCTCGAAGCCTCTGGCCGGCGTCGAGACGTCGGCGCTTACGTCTAAATACACGATCGTCGACCACGAATACGATGCCGTGGTGGTGGGTGCCGGTGGTGCCGGCCTGCGCGCGGCCATGGGCTGTGCCGAGGCTGGCCTGAAGACGGCCTGTATCTCGAAGCTTTTCCCTACGCGTTCGCACACGGTGGCCGCTCAGGGAGGCATTAACGCCGCTCTTGGCAACATGTCGGAGGACGACTGGCGGTGGCACATGTACGACACAGTCAAGGGTAGTGATTGGCTCGGAGACCAGGACGCTATCCACTACATGTGCAGAGAGGTACGTCACGATCTGGCAATGTGAGTGGCCGAGGTACTTACCCTCTCTTTATTCGCTATACAGGCTCCCGAAGCCGTGCGCGAGCTCGAGGACTTCGGCCTGCCGTTCTCCCGTACGGAGGAGGGCAAGATCTACCAGCGTCCCTTCGGTGGCCAGAGTCTGGAGTTCGGCAAGGGCGGTCAGGCCCGTCGAACGGCCTGCGCGGCCGACCGCACGGGCCATGCCATGCTGCATACGCTGTACGGCCGTTCGCTGGCCTTCGACACGTCGTACTTCATCGAGTATTTCGCTCTGGACCTCATCATGAACGACGCTGGCGAGTGCGTGGGTGTTATGGCCTTCAACATGGAGGACGGCACGTTCCACCGCTTCCACACTAACAACACGGTGCTGGCCACGGGCGGCTACGGCCGCGCCTACTTCTCGTGTACGTCGGCCCACACGTGCACGGGTGACGGTACCGGTATGGCTCTCCGTGCCGGCATCCCTCTGCAGGACCCCGAGTTCGTACAGTTCCACCCTACGGGTATCTACGGCGCCGGCTGCCTGATCACGGAAGGATCGCGTGGTGAGGGCGGTATCCTGCGTAACTCGGAGGGCGAGCGCTTCATGGAGCGCTACGCCCCCACGGCCAAGGATCTGGCCTCGCGTGATGTCGTGTCGCGTGCCATGACCATGGAGATCCGTGAGGGCCGTGGTGTGGGCAAGAACAAGGACCACATCTTCCTGCACCTGGACCACCTGCCGCCTGAGCTGCTGCACGAGCGTCTGCCCGGTATCTCGGAGACGGCCGCTATCTTCGCTGGCGTGGACGTGACCAAGGAGCCCATTCCGGTGCTGCCGACCGTGCACTACAACATGGGCGGTATTGCTACCAACCACATGGGCGAAGTGGTGGTGCCGGACGTGGACGGCCTGCCGGAGCCCGGCAAGTTGTACCCGGACAAGATCGTGCCCGGCTTGTTCGCTGCCGGTGAGGCTGCCTGCGCTTCGGTGCACGGCGCCAACCGTCTGGGCGCCAACTCGCTGCTGGATCTGGTGGTCTTCGGCCGTGCGTGTGCTCTGCGTATTGCCGAGCTGACGAAGCCTGGCGAGAAGAAGCGCCCGATGCCTAAGGACGGCGGCCTGAAGGCTATTGAGGACGTGGACAAGCTGCGCTATGCTGACGGCAGCATCTCGACGGCCGAACTGCGTCTGGAGATGCAGAAGACCATGCAGGTGGATGCGGCCGTGTACCGTACACAGGAGTCGCTGGAGGCCGGTAAGGAGAAGATCGACGAGGTGGTGCCCAAGTTTAACGACATCAAGGTGACGGACCGCTCGCTCATCTGGAACACGGATCTGACGGAGACGCTGGAGCTGCGTAACCTGCTCGCCTGCGCGTCCTGCACCATGCACGGCGCTGAGGCCCGTAAGGAGTCTCGTGGTGCCCACGCTCGTGAGGACTTTACGGAGCGTGACGACGTCAACTGGATGAAGCACACGGTGGCCTACCACGACGACGAAGGCAAGACGCACATCGCCTACCGTGCCGTGCAGGACCAGACGCTGGACGAGAACGAGTGCAAGCACGTCCCGCCCTTCGCGCGTGTCTACTAAGCCTTGGTCTGCGTAAAAGCTGCATGGAGTACGGGATGAGACGTATTTTACCATGAACTCGTAACAAAACCAAGAAAATAAACGTCACAATTTCTACGATCGGGTGTCAAAACCAAGCACGTGTGTTGAATATTTTTTATATTCGATGGTACATGTATGCAAGGTATGGTTTACCGTACGAAAATTCGACTTGGTGGTGCTTCCTATTCATCTCTCTGCTTTCTCGCTGAAAACAATCAACTTGAGTCTGTAAAAGAACAAAGGCACGGTTCTTCTCGTCCATTTCTTGAGTTAGTTTCTCCTGCTTAGCGAACGCTTCTAGGGTAATTGTAGACGCGGTCGGTGTCAGCCTTGGCGTTAATGGGGGTCAGCGTAGGAGCCACTGTGCATTGAAAAGCAAAAATAGTTTTCGGTTATTTGTAAGTAGGGTACCGGCGATAATAAGTCACGTGGAAATGACTCACAGTATGGTCATTGACCAGCATTTACCAAAACTTCTGGAACTGTCTCCCACTAACTGTGTTGAGCATTCTGACCAATTCTTCAATGCACCTTGCACCGAGTTCCTGCTGGGGTTGAAAAATCTCATCGAGGGTGGGAAGGTTAAGACCGTCCTTGATTCAGTGCAGGTGAAGGCACTCAATATGCTAATGTCAAACCGCGCCCGTAGCAAGGTCATTATTGAGGTGATGAAGGAGTAAACCAGATTTGTGAAGCAGCATGCGCTGTATTGTGCTTCACTTTCTACTTGAGACTGGTGACGCTGCGGCCGTTGAGTTCCTGAACGGGGCGAGCGTTCTTACCGTCGTCGGTCAAGTGGAGCTTCTTTAGGTTTGTCTGTAGACGCTCCAGGTCCTTTGAGGAGATCTGAACGGTGTCGGAACCACCCACCAGTCGACAATTTCGTCGCAGGCTGGAGTGGTAAGGCTACCAGGGTAGTTGTAGACGCGGTTGGCGTCGACCTTGGTGTTGATGAGATCAGCGTAGGGGGTACTACATACATCGACAATCAAACAGTTTTCGGTTAGTCGTTAGTGAGTCACCGAAGGTGGTTATAAGGATGCTACCAGGTCAACAACTTACAGTTTGACTGTCTGCCACTCTTCAGGCGTGACAATGTCCATCCCATCCAGCACAGGCACCATCCAAGGGTCGGTCTTGAAGTCACCCGCTTGGAGAAAAAGCCCAACAACCACCAACGACGCCGATCCGTCACTTTTCTTGTGTACAAAGTGAATTTATCCGTCGAGAACCTCGCCGTCAAGCGTGTGCTCAGACGGCGAATGGAAGTGAAATTGGGTAAAATCGTACGCTGCCGTGTTGGTTGAGACGGAGCAATCTCCGAAGACATCTTCACCTTTGAACGATTCGTCGGACTGTGTGAGGTTGAAAGTTCTGCATGTGCCGTTGAAATTCAGCGCGCGAGCAGGCAAGTCTGCTTCAGTGCTCGTTGATGGGGGATTGTCGTGAGCCACCGCAAGTTGGGTAGTGCTCAGTCCATTGCTCGGGACTGGCCATCTCGGGGTCGTTGTGCTTGTACCTCCACGGCTGTGGGGGTATGAGGACGAAAACACGGAGATAGCTGGCCCCGAGGAATGGAGCGACTACTATCTCAACTACGCTGGAAATCAACAATCACCCATCGACGTTGATAAAAGAGAAATAACACCCACCGATTGGCATTCAGACCTGTTGAATCCTACCCGCAGAGGGTTTGATCCTCAAGGCCCTGGAAGCGATATCGTGTTGATGTTCAGCGGATCGTGTAGTGACTTCAGCCTTACGCAGACCGACGAATCATTCAACGGTACTGTTGGTGGTGGTTCCTGCTCTTGTCAAGCTCCATTCAGCAGGCCTGATCCTAGTGTACCATTCTCTTTGACCCAATTTCAGTTGCATTCTCCAGCTGAACACACGCTTCGTGAAAGAGAATACGAGGGAGAGATCCACTTTGTCCATATTAGACCAGACGGATTGAAGTTGCTGACCATTGCACTCTTTCTCAAGTCGATGATTCCACTGATCCGTGGTTGGTTCCTGTGCTGGACGCCATGGATGCTGTCACGCTCAACACCTCGCAGAACCTCAAACTGTAAGTTGTTACCTGATAGCGTCCTCCAAAGTTATAACCACGTGACGCATACTAACCTACCTACTATTATAATACCGCTAACCGAATTTGTGATTGTTGCTGTATAGTGACTTCTATGCTAGACTTATCAAGACCAAACTCGACCGCGGCAATGTATATAATTACATTGGCAGCCTCACCACTCCACTTTGCGATGAAATCGTCGACTGGTGGGTGGTTTCAGAGCCCATCCTGATTTCCTTAAAGGACCTGGAGCGTCTACAGAAAAGCATCGGGAAGCTGCCCGTCGCCAACAATGGCAAGAACGCTCGCCCCCTACAACCTATCTCTGGCCGCGAAGTCGTCGAGTTCGATTAAGTTTTGATCACCACAAGCCTATTGGTAACCTTGAATATCCTAGGCAGCTCAACTTTTTTTTAACTGTAATTCATTACTATGGTCAACACTTTTAAGTGAAATTCATCATGGTCTTTAACGAAGTATTAATAATGCCCTGTTCTTTTCTTTTGACTAAAATCAAGCCAGGCGTTTTTCCAATACTAGCACTATTGAACCAGTCCTTTAGTCGGAAGAATACGTTAGGCAATCTATATACCTTTCCAAATTCCTGTCAATTCTGTCAAGGATTCAAACATGTAGCCTAGATCCAGTGTAAACGCGTTGAATACAATGAACGCACTTCGTCCAGCCCTTCGTGATCGAAGTCGCGTGGCCGAACTCGTTTCTGACCTCAAAATGTTCCTCTCCTGAAGACCCCAAGTAACTATTCGCGTATCAGATGAACGTTTTGTCAGCTAGTTAGCCGGCTGCAGCATACTTGTACACGAGTTACGTGGACGTAATTTGCGCTCAATCGACCGATTAGCAACAGTCATTTTGATGTTTTATTTCTAGATTTTGTGCAAGTTGTTGTGGGGATATTCACAAACTTTAAACATGTAAAAGAAGAGCTGCCTTTCATTGCTCTACGGAGTAGTAAAAGGATCAAAACCGTCAGACAAAGTGGAGTTAGACATATAATCTTGGTAGGTACGTAGTCGATCCTCATGTACATAGGGAATTTGTTACAAATAACATGGAAGATTTGGATTTGTGTGATGAAATGAGATGTAACATTGTAACATTCGTGATTGCTATCAATGTTACTCAGAGTCACCGTCGTGGAATGTACCCGTCAAAATTTTCTCTTCTTTGCCTAGCTCTTGACTGTAGTCATCATAGAATCAAGCGTAAGGGGAGATACTCTAGGTAACAAAGCCAACATTCACGCACCTAGACAGCTTCGGGATGGTAACATTGTTATCCAGCTGGTTCTTTGACTGGGCCTTATCTCTATCAACATTCGGCACAAAGTCTCGATCGGGTCCGGAAAAGATAGTCTAATTCACACCAATAAAACTACGTTAGCAACAGCTGAACCAGAGTCACAGATCCCAGCACAGTACCTTAGCAGCAGGACTGACAATAGGAGCCTGGACGAACGGGTTCTCCGTGGCGTTGTCTCCTGTAGAGCCTTGGAAAGCGTTCCACGTCGGCTGGTGCACAATAACTGCCGGTTTTTCTGTAACAACCACCACAACAGCTATCAGTACACGCTTGAATATCACACCAAGTAACACTCAACATACTGGCAGCCACAGTCTGCAGTCCGTGCAGTGACTGTCGCACTTGCGCCTTCTCACTGAGCAGTTCAAGTCTCTGGCGCTTCGTGTCCTGTTCTCTCTCCACCACCAGTCGACTCTCCGAGCTGTAAGTGTGGCGATTAGGTAGAGGTGGTAGGAAGCTTGGCACATGAGGCGGCAGTCCCTCTCGTCGTCCGATCTTGGCCTGCTCAATAGTATTGCCCGAGATATCTCTCTTCCTGGCTGGAAATGCCGGTACATCTCTCGGGAACGGCCGCTTGGCTGTCTCCAGAGTCTTGATCAGGTCCTTAATCTCCACTGGAGCGGGTTCCAGGTCCTGGAAAGCTTGGACGACATCTGTGGCCTTGGGTTGGGCGCGTCCTGCCAGCTCTGCGATCTCCTTGGCCGACGCTCCAATACGTTGGATGTCTGGGTAAACGTCAACACGAACAGTATACTGATTTAGTTTAGTTTACCAACAATTATTGCAATAATTGTGAACGCACACTTGGCTAGAATCTCCGTGAGAGCGTCCGCCGCCGACTTCTGCACGGCGTCGAAGCCCACGCCACGCGCGATGTGCGCCACGCTCATAACCGACAGGTTACGAACGAACAGGTCGCCGCTGGACAGACCCGCGCCGCCGCCCAGTGGGTCGTCCGCCGCCTTCTTGCTCATGCTCACGCTTGTTCCACCTGAAGTCGCGTGCGGCACCTTGCGGGCCTCTTTCTTGCGACCAGAGGCTTGCGCTGAACTACCACGCTGGGAGGGCGACGGCGTCGGCGCCTTGGCCGCAGAGTCCGTGCTCTTTGCATTCGCCGGCATAATGAAACGTGAGTCTTTGAAATTGGGAACAAAAATGCTTCTAGGAAAATGAGTAAAGCCAACAAAAGCCTTTTTAGTCAGTATCATTTTGGCAGATTTAGCTTTGTTTGCTAGAAAAGCTCTTTTTTAAGAAGCTTTTCGACAGCCGATTTTTTTTAACAACAACATGTTTTGAAAGCGGTTTATTAGAATTCGCTGAGCGCAGCGAGAGTGAAGTGGGTGCTATGGAGTTGAGTCATCCTAGTCCATGGGGTCTCCTCTGTGGCGAGCCATAGAGTATTTGATTTCCTGGACTTCGATCGGACAAAGATCATGTTGAACTAATAGCTCAGCCCGCGTGCGAAAGCATCAGCCATTCGATGAGTATAACTCACTGCAGAGTGCCAGTAATGCTTGTTTTCCATATCCTTATAGTGTTGGTCATGGCGTGGTTGCTGAGATGGTACTTGTCGTCGTCTTACATGTTGCCGCTGGCTATAAATCACCGCACATTGCAACCGTGATGAGGATGCTGAGATGGTACATGTGTAGTGTTGAGTGGGCTTTAATTTTCTGTTCGACTTTAACTTTCCTGCAAGCAAAGAACATCACCAAACCCGGCTCCGACAAATTGAACGAGAACTCCACGCTCTTCACCATTTCCAAATTTGCTTTCGACGCAGTACAGCATCTCACCCCAACCCAACCGCCATGAAGCTCTCCGTCTTTGCTACGATCACCGCCTGTGTGCTGACCGAAATTTTCGTCACTGCCGCAACCTCAGGAGGGTACCCGTGGGGGTACAAGCACAACGACCCCGAGATGGCCAGTCCCGAGCAATGGACTGAGCACTACCCAACTTGCGGTGGCTCACGACAATCCCCCATCAACGAGCACTGAAGCAGACTTGCCTGCTCGCGCGCTGAATTTCAACGGCACATGCAGAACTTTCAACCTCACGCAGTCCGACGAATCG